TGGTTATGATTAAGATTAATTAAACAATATTTTTTATTTTTTTAAGATATGTTTGAATAAGTTCAATTAGATTATAATTCTTATTATTTTTCTATTAGCAAGTGTTTTTGTTATTATTTTTAAAAACATATATTTAAGCTAAATATCTTTAAAATAATAAAATATTTAGCCCAATACTATAAAATTGGCTTAATAAAATAAAAATTATGTTCATATACTATAATGTTATGATATTTCCAGTTGATGTGAAACTTTTCAACACATTCTCTCACGGAGAAAGTTTTCATCACACTCCCATATCGAAAATGATTTTTTCATTATACTCCCGCATATTAAGGATGAGTAGTTGAATATTGATCGATAATAGATGGTTTAATCCATAACTATTAACGATTTGACATTTTTAGAATTGACTATGATATCATCTTAAAAATTATGAAATATTTAACTTAATTCTACAAAAACAATTCAATAAGGTGAAAATTATATTCACACATATAATACAATATTATCATGTTTCTGGTTTCAACAAAATAAAAATATTTACTTTAACTCAATTTTCTAATTTTGATATGACATTAAAGATAATTTACTTCATATATCATTTTTGCATGCAAAATCTTTAATATTGTGCCCACTCTCATCAATACCATTTCTTTATAATATAAAAATTTTAAAGTTATAATATTCAATTTTCTCCAAAGTTGATTTCTAATATCTTCTTAATAAATTAAGAGATGCATAATTCAATTCTTCAAAATTAACTCAATAATATAAAGATTATACTCACGTATTCACATATATAATATAAATATTATACTCACATACTCACAGGTATAATATAATGTTATTATATTTATACTCTAAACAAACTAGAAATATATTTATTTTGACTTAATTTTCTAATTCGACTTTAAAAATATTTCATATATACTTTTATCATGTAAAATTGTTTATAAAATCTTTAAAATTATAATATCTATTTTTTTCATATTATATATATATATATATATATATATATATATATAATATAATATAAACTTTTTCTTTGTAAGTATCTTAACGCATTTACTCTTAATTTTAAAATATTAAAAATGTACAAACTTTTAGATATTCTTACTATATTCAGCTTGACTAAGAATTAAATTCTTGTAAAGTTTAAAATTGACATTTGAGGATAAAGACTAGTTAATAAATTAACTACTAATATAACGTAATTTAGAAAAGTCCTAACTAATTACATAAAATTTCCTCACAAATACATTGTTTGGTCAAGTTGAAGTGATAATAATATAAGATATAAAGTCAATAAATTGCCAATTTACTACAAGATTTTGGAAATTAACAAATGAACCATCGTATGATTTGATTGGGATTCTTAAGTTCAATTGTTTGTTAATTCTAGTCAACGCTGACTATCAAGTAATAACTTGCACAACGTTCTTCGGGGTAGTTAAATAAGTTTTATTGATATTATTATTGAGAAATAATTATTTTTATCACTCATATCATAATAATTGAGTAAAGGTACTTCTGAAGAAGTATTTACAATAATATAAACATTGTTCAACCAATTGATTAGACTTCGTAGATAAAATTATTATATAATTACTCACTACTTTTTTATTACAAATTTATAGTCATCTTATTTTGTGAATATAAAACCAAACAACTTTATGGGGAAATAAAAATAGCGTAAATACTTATAAAATAATATAACTGTATGTTTACGAAATTATTAGATCTATTAAATTTTTAAATAATCTGAGAATAGGTTTCATGGTAATGAAAATAAGAGGAAATAATAGTATTTGAATCGAATACACTTGTCCAAACACATCATCATGATTTTCAGTGCAACGCTATTGTAGTTTTAATGTTTTTGTTTTATGTACTAATTTCTTGCCTTTAAAGTACTGATAAAACTTGTAAATAGTTAAACTATTTTAAAAATATTTTTGGTTTTTTTCTTTAATATGATACATATTATCGTCGATAATTTTGCTTATTTTTTACTTCTTACAGACACAGAACAGAAAATCTCTGCAAGGGCAGAGCAGATTGAGTGAGTTAATTTTTAAAAGCTTTATTTTTTGGTCAACGATGGAAGAATTGGTAATCAAATGTTGAATCACGCAACTTTCCGGAAATAAAAAAACAATTCTTTACATTTCTGGAAATAATATTTCAATATAGATTCAAAATTAGTCTGAAAAAAATATCATTCCATTATTACAGGAGGTGCGGAAATAAACTACTGAGCTTAAAAAGTAATCTCATTTTATAAATGTTGGATATGAGCACCTAACTCAACTTAAAATTACAATTTCTTCCATCAACTCCATAATTAAATTAAATTTTATTTTATTTTTTATACTTTTTTTCATCAATTTTATTTTATCTTTATACTTATTTTTTACCATTCATGTATTTGTATAACAACATTTTTTTATTGAAACACATTTAAGGGATTGAGAATACAGTTACGGAGGTTATGAAGATTAAGAATATAGTTATTGGAAAATTTTGTCTAAACACATGTTTTGGAAAGTGGGTTTTAGAATTAATTTTTTTGAAATATATTTCAGATTGTTAGGTCTAAAATACACTTTTAAATTGTATATTTCGAAAGTGTATTTTAGACACATTAACTCTTAAAAAAATCAATTTGAAAAATATATTCGTAAATCTATTTTCTAAAATATGTTTTCATAAAAAAAATTTAAAATATAATTTTAGATTTATTTTTTTAAAAATACAATAAAAACACTAAATCTAAAATATATTTATAGATTGATTTTTTTCAAAACTCAATTTAATATTCGTAAAATTATTTTATATCAAATAATCTGGATTTTAATATATTGTAAGAACATGTAATTAATACTTTGAATGGAGATGATAGTAAAATAAGTCAAATCTGCACAATTTTTACAGGAAAATAGAAAATGGATTAAGATTTGAAACAAAAATTATTAGAAAAGTTATTTTCGTTACTTTACCTAAATATAGAAGTGTAGGAAGAAATTTGGAGATACAGAAAGAAAGTGCCCTTAAAATAGGTATGCACCAAATCAGGATGTGATCCAATTTTTGGGGACATGGCAAGGCCCAAGAAGAGGCGTGTAGTGGACTTATTTTCTCACGACCTGGAAAGCATAAAAGCAAACGAAATTAATTTTGTATTTTCAAATATTAGATCAAACTTACTAATTATGTTTTTTTATAATAATAAAATAATTATGTTCCTTAATTTATGTTATAACATTAAGTTATGAAAGAATATATTGACAAGTGGAAGTACTATAGAATTCATATGCCTATAGTCATTTTCTGAGATTTTTGAAATTTTAGTTATAGACAGAATTATCATTTGATTTTTTTTTTTTAACATAGTATTGGTACAAGAAGTTTGTAACTAAGAAACATAACTTAAATTTTAAGAGCAGATAATGTGGGTATTATTAATATGGTTTATTCTATACGCAAATAGAACAAAAAATCATCATGTTCGCAGTAAATACTTAGTTAATTTAAAAGTCATTAAATTCGCTTTAGAAGAAAAAAAAGTCATTATATTCGCATTATACATTGTACAAATTGAATAATATCGTTTTTGCCTGTTTTTGTTCTAGTTTTTTAATGAAGTATATTCTTGGTTAAAGTACAGTTTAGAAAAAATACAATAATTACATGAAACCAAAATCTACTAAAAAGTTACTTTATATTCTCAGAATTGAAAATTAATATTCTTTAATACAACTGATGCAAGGAGTTTACTTAAAAAAAAAAATAGAGTTATTGATGACTAAACACAAATCTAAACTGTAATAAATACATGTATTTATGTTCAGTCTCTTTACTTTATCATCGATAGAAATGATTGTTTACTTTATCATGTAATGTTATAGTTTAATTATTTGGTGTGATGAGGGAACTATTGAAAGTTTGAAAATATAATGAAACTGGAGTTGTATCTATAACAAACTCTTCACTCTTTATTTTCCTGCATTCACATGGAAGAATACGTACGTGTTAGTTTAAGAATTCATAATCCTGAGAAGAAGATGCAGTTTAAAAGCATCACTTCTTATACCCCTTTAAGATAAGGGTTCAATACCATGCTTCACACTTTCCAGATCTAATTAAAGATTCCTCAAGGCTTTTGAACTTGTTTCGTCACCATCTCCATCTTCTGTATGAGATTTTCTTCCATTAAATTTTTGTTTCAGGAAAATTCTGTGCCTGGTACTGATCATATTTCTCTGTTATTTTGGCTTGGTTATCATTTGCACTTTACTTTTAGGAATGCCTCATATCATAAGGGTATGTTTGGACAAGCTCTTTCAATAAGTATTTAACATTAAAATAATTTTTTTTCATAACTATATTTGAATATGGATAATCTTAGAACAAAAGAGAGAGTCGATGAATGTATTTTTTACATCAAACGCGATTCAAGTGTATTATGGAATCGTCATACTGTGTGAAACATGAGATGAACTTTGTTTTGATCTTGGACTGAATTCTTATAATTAATTCTTAGAAAACAATTTTCCATATTTACCAACTACAGAAATTGATCCTAGCATTATCTATGATTTTCACACGCACGCTGAAATTATGAAGAATCTCAGTGTTTACGTAGATAATTACATAAACCAAACTCCGACAATAAAAGCCACACCAAATAACTTATTGACATCATACAATTTGTACGTATATAAAAATGAGGGTTTTATGGCGCACTCCCTTATCTTTTAGTACACCAACTTTTAATAATTAATCATTTATTTTGTTTCATAAAATACAGGATTAACTTCAGTGGTGAGTTGTTGAAAAGATTGGTGCTAATAAGAATAATATTGATGGTGATGAAACGATGGTTATCTTGGATACTATTTGAAGCCATACTTCTTCCACCATAATTTTCACCCTCCAACCATTAGGGAAAGTCATAAGTCGTAACCATCACAACCCCACTAGAGTTAGAATTGCAAATGAAGACGGCGCGCGTAGAAGAGCACGTGCGCACGTGACACCTTGGGGACTCTGTATGATTGTGTGAAGAGTGTGGGCCATGGTTACCTTGGTTTTTGTCTGCATAGGAAAAGCATGACATCATAAGTGTATTGGCAGTTCCAAACTCCCTCCTCACAGAAACAGACAACCATCCTTATTCTCCTCGCAGTGCTCTTGTCCAGAAATTATTACATGGATCACGAATATGATGGTCCCAATTCAGTTCATTTTCATGTAAAATATAATTGAATATTGTTAATTTTCTTTTCTGAATTGAAAATATTCAGTACATGTTATATGAACACTGGTCTAAACCAAAGACACGTGTTTAACACGAGACTGTGTGATAATCTTTTGCTGTTGTCCGTACACGTGTTGAATCATCTACCCTCGATTCCCACGTGTCGCAAATCACGGGCACCCCTTTGGTACATTTATCTCACCCAACCCTACTCTCACAGAACACGAATCCTCGTCATGCGATCATCGCCTCCTCCTCCCAACCTTAATTGATTGAAATGATTCAATCGTAGTACCTAGTGTTCTTTCATCCCTGGTAAAGAAAGAGAGAGCAAAATAAGAGAATTTGAAGAAAAAGGTAGGCTTACAAAAAGTTGTGTTATTGTATGCATGAGAATTATAGGAGAGAGTTGAAGCTGGACCCTTGACCATCACCATGTATAGCATGGATTCATCTTCAGGATCTCACACTCATCAGCACCCTCTTCTTCCTCCTGGGTTTCGGTTCCACCCCACAGATGAGGAACTAGTGGTTCACTACCTCAAGAGAAAAGCAGACTCTGTTCCTCTTCCTATTGCCATCATCGCCGAGGTTGATCTCTACAAGTTCGATCCCTGGGAACTCCCAAGTATGAAACTTCATCACACCCCACCTTGTCTTTTCTTCCTTTCGTGTAAACCCACTTTATATTTCCTTCATTAGTTTGCATTTTTTATTTATTTTGGTGTTCCTGTGTTTTTAGGTAAAGCCACTTTTGGTGAGCAAGAGTGGTACTTTTTCAGCCCAAGGGATAGGAAATACCCAAATGGGGCAAGGCCTAACAGGGCTGCTTCTTCTGGGTATTGGAAAGCTACCGGAACTGACAAGCCCATACTTGCTTCTCATGACCACCACAAAGTTGGAGTCAAGAAAGCACTTGTTTTCTATGGTGGCAAGCCTCCAAAAGGGGTTAAAACCAATTGGATCATGCACGAGTACAGGCTTGTTGGCAGTTCCTCGAATTCTACCTCAAAACCACCTTCTGTACCTGCAGATCATGCAAGTAGTAGTAAGAAAAACTCCTTGAGGGTATGCATGCCATCTATATGATTCATATCCTCTATTTTCTTTTTCTTTCTTTTTTTTATTTTAATTTCTTTTCAAACAAAGTTAAATGAATCGCGTGTGATGCATATAATAGACCTTCTTTAATAAGATAAGGTTTTCATTGTTTTTAAAGATTGAAAAAAAAAATCTAACCGTACTGTTGACTATAATGTCAGGTTTTCTACTCACCATTCGCATTTTGTGATTTTTTATTCATCTGTAATTTTCCACAACATGAAATTTATATCAGGATAAAACCGTACCATAATATTAAATCTTGATCATTATTGTCGAAGTCCTCTTTAAAATTGATTTTGTTTTTGTGGCAAATTTGTTTGGTAGCTTGATGACTGGGTTTTGTGCCGGATATACAAGAGAAACAACAGTACCATCTTGCCAAGGTTTCCTTTGATGGAGCGGAATAAGGAGCTATCTACGGAGAGTACTATGCTACCAATGATGTCAACTTTGTCAGTGGCCAATAATAACATCTCTCAGAATTCCAAACCCTCATCTTCTAGAAGCACAAGTTATGGACCCCTGGGAGTAGAAAATGATGATAACTTCTTTGATGGAATCTTAGGAGTTGACAATAGCATGCAGCAAGATGTTTCTGATTTCCACCAAGTCTCTTCAAAGGGAATATACCCTGTGAAACGAGCACACTCGTCACAGTTTTGGAATGACACAGGGTCATCATCTTCTAGCAGAAGATTCCATTGTGATCTCAATGAAGGAAGCAACACTGCTGATCATGAAGACAATTCCTTCGTTTCTCTGCTTAGCCACCTTCCACCGAACACAGCATTTCACCCAAATGCACTTCTTGACCCTGTTAGTAATGATGTATTGAGGCAACAGTTTCAACTTCCAAGCATGAACTGGAATGTTTAGGGTGGCTAATTTGTCTTAGGGTAGATACCGGCTTCGATAATGTACCTGCCATTGCAGGTGTCATTAAGTTTTATTTTGGGGTTTATTATTAGACAAATCTTGGACACATAATGTTGTTTGTGTTACTTTTTATAAGAATTTGAGTGTTATTTTGTAATCGGCATAATCTTTTGAGGTTAATTTTTATCATGCAGGATTACATATTAAAACTCTAATTCATTGAATAATATATACCGCGAATAACAACACACAAGAAATATCTAATTAAGTTTTTTCCTATATTATTTTGTCCTTCCACTGTATCCATGTAGAATAGAACACACTAGAGAGAGATTAGGATTCTGACTTTCATTTTAATTACGTCTTGGAAGCTTATATTAAGCTGAATACAATAGAATACTACTGTTCTGTATCAGCAAACGCTGGCACTTTTAATTAACTAATAAAAGAATCCTTTAAGTACATTAATTAAATGGGATTTTATTGTCAGCAATGGTTCATGATGCATGAAAAAAAAAATATGTTGAGAGAAAACATTAAAGTTCAATCATATAAACAATAATATTTAGTTCTTAGCTAGGATATACCTTGGTGCACATCACAAATAGATAAAGTATATAAATAACACTAAGCTTATGTTACAAACATTTTCTATATGGGAAGATTAGATGGACCTAGGGCGTAGAAGAAAAGAGAAAAAAGGAATCTAGGTTGATATGGATTTATAACTACCAATCAAGTCAAATGAAAAGTTTGCAATGGAAAAAAAAATGGTTTTTATGATATCTGATAAGAAGGTAACCGCCTTATTTTGTCCTCTTCTTGGCATTTGATACTTAAAGAAAGAAAAGGATATATGAAAGAAAGATAAAAAGATTCTTATAAACCCTATACACGTTGATACATTATATATAGCATGTCCAAAAGAAGAATGTCAACTGCCTAAAGTTTTTGGGATTAGACAGTAGAAGAATTTTAATCTAATTAACCTACTTAATTCTCTATTTACTATAGGTAAAGGTGTTGGTTTTAGTTTTTTAAAAATTGTAAGAGATCAAGAAGATTGTTGCAGAGTCGTTTCACAAAGGGATGGGTATAGATAATCTAAATTCAAGTATCAACACAAATAAAGAGAAGGAACAAATTCTTTTGACCATCGTGATTTGACTTTTATCAAGTTCAAAATATATATTATCAAAACCAAAAGAGATGTCTCAAAACACAATCTTATTTCGCATAATCTAAATAAATCATTCAACAATGATGTACGAAACAAATGGCAAATGATAGGACAACTGTTCTAAAATTGAATGGGACGATAAAAATGCTATCAGCTGACACCTGTTCACAAGAACTAAGTCATACATATATTACATGTCAAATCTACTTTGTCGCCTGACAAGATAAAATAAGTGATAAATATATTCCTTGAAAAAAACACCAGACGTAAAATATTTTCTGCATTTGTGGAAAAATCTCCAACAACTAATGAACTTGTAGTAGAAAAGTTATAAGTTAATTTAATTCTAAAATGGTCGAAAGAGGTTTTTCCATACTTATCTATCAGATGAACCACTTGAACTGCTACAAGATTTTGACAGACAAGTTGCTTATCCATGAAATTTTTGTATGAATATCATTCCTCCTAAAAGAAGTTTTCTTGTAAACCTTTTATAATATTCAAAACCTTCGACATTTTAAGATATAACATGTACTATGAAAGAAGTTTTGCGGTTAATTAACTTAAAACCACCTTAAATATTTTAAAAAAAAATCTTATACTATCACATATGATTAATTAAATTAAAATTTATTAATTTATGAATGCATTAAACTCTCTGAATATGTAGAATGCTAATAAAACGATAGTTTATTATTTAGAACACAAGATCATTTACACCGAACTAAGTATATTAGGACAAATATGATACTCTTGTAGTTTATTGAAGTTTCAGATCATAACTATCATTTGAAGTCTTATGATAACATGTTCTATAAGAATACAAAGTGTAATATCTTTTTTTAATACTACGAGTAAATATCAAATTTTTGAAATAATTAAGATAATGATATAATATGATATTAACAAAATAGAAATACCATATAAAATTTAAAAAAATGCCAAAATAATTTGTCCTATTTTTTATGAACCAGCACAAAGTTTTTACAAAAATACATACTACATGGATCATTTAGTTTTAGCATAGAGTTTTATGTCGAAAGTAATTTTTTTTAATTGACTATAATAATTGAAGAATTATAATGAATAATATTTGTGTAATAGTTTACACATGCTGTCAAGAAGATACTATCCATTTTACACATGTAAATATTTGATCTGAAATTAACCCAAGAATAGGAAATTATACGCTGTTTTTCCAATATAACATATTTTTTTACGTTAGTTAACATCAATTGGTTTTTAAAGTTGAAATCTGATATGTTTTTGGAGTTTTCATAATCTTATTTTAGTCTCGCCTATTAGAACATGTATATTCTTAGTGGAGGGATGTCAATAATGATGTTAGAAAAAAAATTTATAAATAATTTCGGCTAATATTAATTGTTATCAGAGTCATCATAGTTTTATTTATTATAACATACATCTTCTTTGTAATGAAATGTTAGAAAGAGTCCCGCGTAATTTATCTTAATTATGACTTATGATGGATCCATTATATATGCTGAACATTATCTTTTATCTTAATTATTTAATTACGACTTATGATGGATCCATCATGCTGAACATGATCTTTTTGTAGCTGGTTCTTGACTAATCAATTGAAAGAGGATGCCGCAGATACCTATTGAGGGTGGTGAAGAAACATATATGCATGCTTACTAGAAAGATAGTTTACACAGACCAACCAAGAAGTATGTGGAACGGGTCACTAAATAAAGGAAACACTCTACACATCATGGAAAACCATGTGTACAATCAATTTGTCTTTCAAATAGGAATAATCTTATTGTATTTCTGTTGATTGGTAGAGGTAAATGCACTTGGGTTGGTTTTTGTCATTGGTGAATGTTATAAGTGAAGGATATATTATCTTATTAAACTGAAAATAAGTCTTGTTGGGAGATAAGAATGGTTTTATTTGTAAGCATGTGGCTATCATATGGACTATATACAACTATGGATATATAGCAGTTGAAAAATGTCAGTTTATCGTAAACAAAATTAAAAAATGAGTTTTCAGTGAAAATAATTAACCTTCGCTTTCTGTATTTATTTTTGTTAATATGAAAAAAAAAGTGTTTAAAACTTGTCTTAATCATATGAAATAAAAGACAGTAATATTTAAAGTAACTCTTAAATAAATAAGTGTGTGTACGTGTGTTTTTAAGACAGAAGTATATATTGTTCTTTTTTTTTTTTTAACTTGTCTTTAGATAATAATAATTAACATGTGTCTGAATCAAAGTGGAACATTACATAATGTGATTGACTTGGCTAATCCACACACTACTCAATCACAAAACAACACTTAAAAAAAGAGTTAAGAAAAATAGAGAAAAGAAAATATGTGGAGAGCATGCAGCCATATAATATGCAGAAAATATGATATAATTAATATGTGTGAGACGAGTGAAAAGATTTGGGTCTTACTTTTCTTTGTAATGACGTATCATTATTCGGAGTCATAATCACGTCTTTGATTTAATTGATGGTACGCAAAGATTAGATAATATGATTAAAGACAAATGTTCACCACGAAATGATGTACATCATTTTTGTTTTTTGGGTCTAATGTATCGCCATGGTATTGGCTCTTCAGAAAGCACCAAACATGGTTGTCGTGGTATCTTTTTCATTCATATTCAAATGTATCGCCATGTTATTGGCTGTCGAGAACGAATTCATATTTAATGGAGCAGTACCCGATTCAGTAAAACACAAACAATGCCAACTTAGACACCTCTTTAATTTTTTTTTAACCTTTTTCTTCCTTTCCATAGCCCAACCAAATGCTTATGCATTTATTATGTTCAGTTATATTGCTAAATAAATAATTTTTTTTTATTTGGTACGTGTTATGCTTTTCTAACTTATTATTTATTAGGCTTTCCATCAAGATTTCAACGGATAAAAGTTATGGAAAAAAATTATTTAATTCGACATAAAAATGTTAATAGACTTTTAAGTCTCGTCAAGTAAAAGTCTTTTCTATGTTGTTACCATTTTTTTTTTAATATATATTACGGTAAGTTTGTTTTTTTAAAGCAAATTCACTCAAATTGAGTAGGACCACTATAAATGATTAAACAAATTCCTTACAATGCAATTACTTATTAACTCAAAATTACTAGTTAAATTGAAATAACCTCATGAATTGCTTGATATGTTCAATAATTCAAACCATAATGTGGGTCTCAACACCATATTAGTTTGACTAAATGATTTTATTTTATTTTATTTTTCTTTAAAAAACAAATCTTAAAGTTGGTGTTACTTAAATAGTTCAAGGTAACTTCTATCTATTTGGAGCTACTAGTTACTAATGATTGATTGATCTGACTGTTAAAAAGTAGTTGCAACCCAAGTCAATGGAAACAAATATTTTGCTTCCAAAATAATATTGATGCTATAAGTTTAAGGTAATTGAATTTTTAAGTTCATGAAATAAATATAACATTGGTAAGACCAACACTAAAATGTAATTAATGAACTAAATATAATGTTTAATTTGTTTATCAAAAATATGTAAAATATAAAATGTTTGCTCCATAAATGAGGCCTTATGTCAGGAATGAGGGTCTTGAGAAAAAATTCTCATTGTCAAGTCTTTTTAAGAAAACATACTTTTGTTTGAAAATGTGTTGCGATCCATCAATCTAAACAAATTCAAATAATGGCTCAACGTCCTATTTTAACCCCAACTTCCTGCAATATTTTTAAATTTGATAAATCATTGATTCGACAAAGAAATAGGATTATGATCCTAAAACGAATCAATATAGTTAAATAAGAGAAATCAATATAATAATATTATATATTATATTTTTTTAATAATATATTATTTGATACGTTTGAAAAAAAAAATGTTATGATTAAAATTAGTGTCAAGCATCTATATAAGTTAGAGTCATATCTCATTCCTTAATAAATTTGCCTCCAAAAATTCAACATATATAACAAATATATTAATAAATCAAGTACAATAAAAAATTCCTTTAAAGCGTTTTTGGCGATTTAATGTTTTATTGGACATCATATTTTATTTTGAGGAGATTTCTCTAACCCATTTTCAAATTGTTCTTTATCTTCGTAACCATACATGCACTTCTTAAAGTTATTAAGAAAATGAGATTCACCTTTCATTAAATTGCAAGTCTTTGGCATGTACATGGTAAGTTTCAGGCATGACATTTAATGCTTTTTCCATTGCTTAATCTTGGGCAGTAAAAACTGTTTGAGGAAATTTCTATTTGTGTGTTGATAGAAGTGTCTAAAAAATTATAAAAATATGTATGAGTCAGTAACAATGTAGCCCGAAAGATCACTAATTTGTTGTGATTGTTAAATACTAAGAACATTCGTAGTGGTCTAGGTGAACTAGTCTAGCAAGTTTCATTAGAAAAACACTATCACCAAAATACTCAGGATCAATGAGCATCCCCACATCTGCCCAAAAAACCATTGGTGATTTGACCTTCAACAAGGAAGATAGATCCCTTTTATTTATTATACTATCAATTTTTAATTATTTTAATATTTAAAATAAGTCTTTGTGACTTAATTAAGATTCAGTTGGAGGAAAGGTAGGTCAGTCTTTGTCTAGTCAATCAAGTATGGCCCATCATCTTGAGTGAGGGCCTAACGTGTGTATACCCTTTGTTACGAAAATGTGTTCTTAACAATCGATGAGGCTTATTGAAAGCCCAACACTGTCGCTTTATCTAAAATCTTGGGCTGATTAAGCCCATTAACCTAGAGAGCTGTAGAGAATATCCGCGTTACGCAAACATTAAAAGGATGAATTGGGTATGATGGAGGAACCCAAACTAAAATGTGTAGCCTCGAGAAGCGTGGTAACGTGTGGGTCCTCACCCTCGATGGCGAGGATCCCCAGCACCGCTTCAATCCAACCCTAATCGATTCCCTCCTCTCCGCCCTTTCCCGTCTCGCCTCTCAGGCCACCCCGGGCTCCGTCCTCCTTACCACAGGCCACGGCAAATTTTTCTCCAACGGCTTCGACCTCCCATGGGTCCGCGCCGCCGCCGCCACCTCCTCCGCCGCCACGGACCGCCTCCAGTCCCTCGTCGACTCCTTCAGGCCCGTCGTTGCCGCGATCCTGTCCCTCCCTATGCCCACCATCGCCGCCGTTAACGGCCACGCCTCCGCCGCAGGGTTCCTCCTCGCCATCAGCCACGATTACGTCCTAATGCGTGCCGATCGCGGCGTGCTCTACATGGCGGAGGTGGACCTCGGACTGCCGTTGCCGGACTACTTCGCCGCCGTGATGAGGTCGAAGATCAGGTCGCCGGCGACGCTGCGCGACGTGGTATTGGGCGGTGCGAAAGTGACTGCGGGGGAGGCAGTGAAGATGGGAATAGTGGAGTCTGCGCACGATAGCGCGGAGAGCACGGTGGAGGCTGCGATGCGCCTGGGGGAGGTCTTAGCAAGAAGGAAGTGGATGGGTGAAGTTTATGCAGAAATAAGGAAGAGTTTGAATCCACAAGCATGTAAGGTTCTGGGATTGTCTCAGAAAGCAATCGTATCAAAGATCTGAATATCTTCCTCTATGAGATAGATGCTAAAAAAAATAATACACATCTATTGATTCTTAACAGACCGTTAAGAATATGATTGTACTTTATTGTAAACTCTTTTGTACTTTGTTTTATATTTATATTTTTTTTGAAATAAAATTAACTTTATTTAAAATTATATATTATTTTGTAATAACTTATTTAAATATTTAAAAAAATATAATTTTATTAATATTAATATTTAAATATTTTATTGTTTGAATTATGTTTAAAAATAAAATATTATATTCAAATAGAAAATTCATAAACATTGATGAATATTTGTGGATGATTATTGTGTTTTTACTTTTTCTTATATCACAGATTTAAATTTTAATTCATATTAAATTAATTTAATTTATTTTACATTATTATATATGTATTTTTTTTCTCAAATACAAGGAATTAACCTGACCTATGTAGATCCACTCCTTAACACAGATTATAGTATGGAGGTTAATTTCCATTTGTTTGGTAGGATAGCAAACCTTCTCAATGATAAATTGCTTTAAATTGGGAGTGAAAAGTGTGAGTTTGAACTATCATTTTACATTATTTTCACAATCTAAATCATATAACTTTCAAAATCAACCCATTTTTAATATTATAATATTTATTTTTATTTATTTTTATTTTTATTAAATTATTTTATAATTATTATATGAATAAAAATTGATTATTTTAAGAGTTGTTTGTATCACTTATCTTTTTACATAAAGAGGCTTCATCTATATTATATAGAATTTTGAGTTAAAAAATATATATTAAATAGTTTATAAGATAATAATGGGTCCACTTTATTAACATGAATTTGACAGTGACTTACTCTAACTTTGCCTGTATTTGCTGCAACTTTCTTTTTGCACATGGATTGGTTGGTTCGTTGGGTAGCAAGAGAGTGATAGGTAATTAATATATATAAAAAAAATGAATGATAGAATTTCTTTTTATATAGCTAAAAATAATATACAGAAAGATATACTTTTTCATTAAATTTTATTTTTATGTTTATAACTTTGATTTATATAAAAATTTAATTTTTTTATTAATTAAAATTCATGTGTATATTAAATTTTAATTATTAATTATGTTATATTAATATAGTGTGATAAATATAAAAATTAAATATTTTTAATACATTAATATGATATTATTTTATTAATTTAAATTAAATATTTTAAAAATATAATTCTATAATAAAATATTTTATACTATAAATCAAAATATATATCATTAAAAAATATTAATTATAAATTATTTCATTCATTAAAAAATTAATAAATACATGAATAATTTTATAATTATATAAATATTTAATACTAATTTGTTTTACTTGTATTTTTTTTAATAAATATTTTCTTTTTTCATGTTATTTTAAAGTAAATTTTTAGTCTATCTTTTTTTTCTTGCTTTACTTTCTTTTTAAAATGTGCAAATGTTCGTGGCAAAGAGTTCTATAATAAAAATAAAGGTTGCAGATGATTTATTTGACATCTACAAAACCATATGCTTAAAAAAAATAAAACGGAACCTATTCAAATACAGTATTTCTCAGGATATTTTTAAATGCATATTAAAATTATTTCTTAAATATTTTGAAATATTTCAAGGTAGAAACAATCATTTTTTAATTAATTTTTTATATTTTCTAAAACATGTCTGCATATTTCTAAATAATATTTGATACTTATAATTTTTTTAATATTATTGTATAGAAGAGTAAAGAAAAGGTGGTAATACATTAATAAATATATATTTACATGTGAAAGAGAGATAGATGATACAATTAGCATTAAATAGAAATTTACCACCTTATAAATTATAAACTATTATATTAAGTAATATTTATTTTGAATTCTACCATAAATTATATGAAACATGACAAATTTATTACCTTTGTGAAGTGATTCGAACATTTTATTCTTGGTTCAGAATCACAGTGGAACAGAACAGGAGACACAACCTCGTTATTATTATTTGTATTGTCATGAATAAATTAACAAATTGGTATGTACTGTTCCAGGCCCATAATGATAGTGTGATCTGAAGCCCAAACTGCAATTGTTTTAGGCTTCTTCTTTTCTTTTCTTTTTCTGCACTCCCATATTTTTTCATGAACCTCATAATTAAAATAAATTTTATTTTATTTTTTTCATCTATCTTCTTCTCCCACAAATGCTTGTTTATGGTCATTAAATCTTAAAACATTATTATCGTTCCTTCAACTAATAAAAGACTCATTATTTTAAGAAGTGATCACTTCTAGGTAAGATTGTTAAACCGCTTTTAATCTCTATATTTTTTACTTGAAAAAAAAAATGACATCTCTAAATATCACGTAGCATAACAGAAATTTCGCAAGTGTATCATATATTTTGGAACTATGTGTTTTAGAGATATATTTTGGATCGCTCATTCCAAAACTCATGTAAATTGAGACAAATATTGTATAATGAGATTCAATTAAAACAAAAATTTATAATCTTTTTGATGGAGAAGGTTTTTTAATAGTGACGGAAAGCCAACAAAATATAAATGTTATAAATATGGAGGTGCAGAACAGTGAAGATACTTCTTAAGTTTCAAACAAAAATTAATATAAGAATATTTTGATATTTTACATGAATTATAGAAATATAAGAAGAAACGATGAGAGTGCATGAAAACAATTGACTTTTTTTTTTTAATTTCATAATTTCTTCTTACACTTTATTGTTAGAATTAATTTAATTAATTCATTTCATTACGTGATTTATGTAAAATATAATGATGGGTTCAAATGTAATTTAATAAAATATAAGAATAAAATTTACGGTAACCAACTTGATGGATGTGGGTTAATGAAAGATGATTGAGGTTCTGTCTCTGATCATAAGGTTTTTTCACTATAAACCATCAAGAAAGCGTGAAAAGAGAAAAAAAAGATAAAGAGATAGATTAAGAAAATGAGGTTAGAGTTAAAGAACAAACTCTCATGAGATCAATGTTAGTCTTCTTATTATGATTTATGTATGTTATATCGTACAAATCAATAATCTAAAGATCATACATAGTAATTTTCTAGAATGAATTAAGAACGTATGAAAACTACAAATTAACTTACATGTGGTATCAAAGCCTGATTATTAGATTTATGATTTTTCTCTTATGATAGTTTTTCCCAAATTATGTTTTTCCCAAATTAAGATAAGTCATAATTATGAATTTAGGGATTCTTCTGTCAGATTAGTATGAAACCTAATTTATTCCCAAATTTTATTTTTCCCAAAATTAAATAAAAGAATAAACCTAATTTATGTTTTAAGGCTGCAATCAATTTCAGATTAAAACCAATTTTATAGTCCCTATACGTGAATAACCCTGTAATTGATTTTAATTGAAAAGACAAATGGCGTGATTGGGTTAGGGTGAATCATTAATGAAATTGGTTTCATTGCATGTTATAATTATGTTATAATTATGATGAGATGTTATAATTATGATGAAAGAAAGGTAAACGATAAAGTTGATATTTTTGTGTTTTTATTGACTACTATTGTTAGTATGCATCATGGACCGTGCTCGCATAGTACATTTGCATGTTTCTTTTTATTATGCATGATTATTATATATTTTTGGTAGTGAATAATTAGCAGTTATGTTAGATCTACCTATTATTTTGTCCACATATAACACATGTAGTAAATGACTGCTGATAATGCACTATCACGGGATGTGCCCAGTTTTACTTTACGTATGAATGGTTGTTACTTGTTATGTGATGTGCCAGTGTATAAATGTCTTAATTGCAAATTTTGTTTTGCAGATTGAATTGAATTATTTATGCTATAAGTTGTGCATAAAAGTTTTGAATTGACAATTTCAATAAAATTAAGGTCTTAAGATTGAAAAATAATCTTATAATGAAAATTGAAATTATGGGTTTCAATTTTATTTATGGCACATAATATTTTATTATGTGAATAATTTACATATTTATTAAAATTAATAATAATAAAATGTTATGGTTAATAGCAACTAAAGATATTATTTATTTGAAATGAAGCATGATAAATTTTGCTAGTCACCAAAGTGGCCAAAATTTTAAGGTTATTTTGATTTTAAATTATTAATAATTTTATTTCAATTACTCATAGTATGAATGCTAAAATTATGAATAATTGATTTATGGGTTAATTGAAGTTCATTATTATAAGACATTTCAAGATCACCCAAAATTGATTAATTGTTATTATAATTAATGAGCATAAAAGTAGATAATTTTGTGTGCGTCACTAGTTTTATTTATATAACCAAAGGTGTTAGGTGATTCCAAATGATTAGCGTACTTATGTTTGTATATTAGTGGATCACCCAAAGGAGAACATTATAGTATGCATAGAATAGTTATTTATATTTGAATCTGTATTTATGTTTAATTTTTTTTACTCAAAGAGTTAATGTTGGACATGTGTTAATTAAAGTATCTGTTCATGTAGCTCTACATTTTCTTTTTTTGTCTATTCCAGTCTTTAATGGATTAAATTTTCCTGACTGGAGTGAACAAGTCCAATTTCACTTAGGTGTGTTGGATCTTGATTTGGTTTTCCAAGTTGAAAAAATTGGCTGCTAGAACTGATGCTAGTAGCAATGAAGAAAAAACTCATTATAGAGCTTTGGAAAGATCAAACAGACTTAACCTTATGTTTATGCGAATGAGTATAGCAAACAATATTAAGTTTTCTCTTCCTAAAACTGAGGATGCAAAGGAGTTTATGAAATTTGTGGAAGAACGCTCTCAAACTTCTGAACACGTAATCGAAATGACAAATATCGTAGTATGCATGAACACATAATCGAAATGACAAATATCACAACAAGACTCAAGTTTTTTGGAATGATAGTGGAAGAAAATTTCTTGTGCAGTTCATTTTGAACTCGTTACCATCTGAGTATGGTTCGTTCCAGGTGAACTATAACACCATGAAAGATAAATGAAATG